ATAATTGTTTGTCCTATAAAAGATTTAACTGATTCTACCAACTATCGATTATCATAAAGTAGAATTTCCTAAATCATGAAATATCCTATATCTTGACTCGTTAGCTTGAATTTAGTTGTAACGATGATACCATATTATGATGAGGTTCGTCACATGACGGACGAAAGCTCAGCATCTTTTCACCGGAATGGAAAGAGATTACCTCGGAAACAGCGTCAACATAAATTTTCTAGTAAAACCAATCGACAGCTGGTCAAGAAGAATCCACCGTCGTCTTCTGGCGGAATCGACCTTCCAATCTCTTCATCAAACACCTTCACTCAAAATGGAAGTAAGCTCAACAATAACCAAATGATGCCAAAAAATTATATTTCAAGGGGATGGCATAAATCTGTTCCAATAATTCTTATTTCCCTTATAGTCTAGCAAATTATTTCGAATCTCCTCTTTATTAATTATGGCAATGAACACAAAGGATGTCAACTCAGGAAAAATTAGTCTATGGTCATTTTGACCTTTAGGTAAATCGTAGGCCTCTGCGACGACAGGATCGTAGATGCCCAAAAACTCAAGGAATAAGAGAAGGGCACGTCTCTTAAGACTCCTTGCTCGTCGGCTTCGCTGGATTTCCTCAGCCGGTGTTTTACTATAAGAAGGCTCAGCCAAGCCAAGGTCAAGCAGTACTGGTCGAATCTGTTCAAAATGAACAACACGATCAGGATCTTCCTCGGTGATTGCAAGAGCTTCGTCGCCGCCGCCTAAGCCCACTGGGAGCCAGGCGGCAGCTTCACGAACTTCCTCAAGTCGCAGCCAGGCAGTTCCGCGGCGGTATGCACGTGTATCTGTGCTGGCCCCAGAAGTAGTCGTCACTGGCTGTAAAACATGATGGAAAACAAGGGAGAAGGTCAAAAACGTCAGGGCAATGAGCTATCTAAAAACCATAATTAAAAGCGGATATACCGATCTTACATTTCGAGCAACTATGGTTGAGATAATAAGATGTAAGCTTGCAAGTGTGTAAGCCAGGTTGACAAATGACCTGTCCTAACCTCTTAATCAACTATTATTAAGGGTTAACCACCCAAAGAAGGGCATGACTGAGGATGAGTAATCACGTACGTCTGATTTGGGTGCCAAGCTTAAACTAATATAGAAGTTGTTTGACCTTGTTTTC